AGTCCTTGAAGCGCCCTTGACCACATTTGCCAGGGTGAGAAGTAAAAATTTTGAAATAAAAATTATACATTTGAATTTTTACCAAGAGGATAAAACAATGAACAATGTACGTATTGTATCTTCTTATATGAGAACACTTTATTGGTTATCAAAGCAGTCCTAACAGATGATTTTGATAATTTTAATAATGTATTTCATTAAGATGTACAAAACGAGAAACTAACATACTGCTCAAAAGATAAAACTTTTCTTTTCACTGAATCGGCATTTCTAATTCTTTTTTATTAAAAGCACTAATTTTTCTATTACTTGAAGTTAATTTTTGATGAGTGTGAATGAATGTTATTAAAATATATTTTCAACCCATTCATTCACAATCAAACCTTTTCTTCACATACTTTCATTCACACATCATTTTATATACCTGATTCATATACACAAAAAATTAACTTCATGTAACTGAAAAACTTCTTTCTTTTAATAAAAAAAATTAAAATTATACAATAATTACTAAAAAGAATTTACAAAGTTAACATGTGCAGACATAATGAAGTGTCTAGTTATATCTTCTGAGAAGTACACCTTAAAATAACACCTACCCAAACGGAGGGCAAAAAGCTACATTACTTCTGGGAAGCAAGCAAAGGAGCATTTATTTCAAAGGCATATTTATTTCAGTAAGCCAAGAACAGCTTAAAAACAATAAAGATTCACTATTTCACCCGGAATGTAACCACTTACTTGCCCTTGATGGAATAATACAAACTTTTAATTCTGCACCTGACAAGAACAGGAGTTATGTCAAATCTTTTTTCAAACCTATGAAATATACTGCATTAAACATGTAAATATACTGACCGTATCTCTCTTAAGTAGAGACACAAGAGCCCAGGTATGGGAACAGCACGAGGAACGTTATCATCAGAGACATCCTGAATATTTACTATGAAAGAAATCCCTGAAGCATCCTGCCTAACTTCTTCCCAATCTTCTTCTATAATTTTCTCTATGTGTGTCATATAATACTTCCAACTAAAGCAATGTACAGAATGTATAAGTACTTTATATTAACAAATTTTCTGCAAAAAAAAACTCTAGACAATATTTTGTTTCTTGAATCATTTCTACTACATATCTGCACCCACATCAACTGATATGATTTTTCAAATCATGAAATCATTGGCAATCATATTGTATCAAAACCATACAAAAAATAAAACTGCCTTATTCTACGATTAATTCAACAAAACGTATGTTTAAGAGTACCTTTCCTGAACAATTACTTCAGAAGTTTTCAAAAGAAAACTCTTAAAAGTATGCTCAGGTCTAAAAGGTATGTAGTGCTGAGATAGAAAATGCTGCAGGTCACCCTTCCAATATTTTGATGAAGGCCTTTTCACTTTCCAAAAAATTTGAAATGACAAAGGATGTTTAAATATTTTAGTTATATTCAAAGACAACATGCACTTATTTTCATTCTCTCTATAAATACATATAAAACATTCGACTGGCAAACGTGATGTTCTCTGATAAACAAATGTATTGTTTCAATGAATATTTTTCACATTTCTAAAAAACAATTGATGAAATGTCACTCACCAGCACAGATTGAAAAAGTGCATTGTCCATTACAATAGGTAATAATTCTTCTTTCATCCACTTTTGCATCTCTACTGTCATAGTTCTATGATATTCAACTACTTCTTTTGTCTTTGATGGAAACAATAGTTCTGCATCTTCGATGAAACCATTTGCACCTCCTGCATGTAAGAGTATATCTTTTACCTTCATCTAAATGTTTGCTTGAGCAACATTCATTTTTATGTTGCCATGACTGAGAGGCATAAGCTAAAGGATAGATTGTTAAAAACAATTAGTAAAAATCTACTGAAATAAAATCATATTGAACCACTATGTAGGAGCTTCAAACTGAACAAACGATATTCATCATACACATAAGTCATTACACACACTGCTATTTCTCAAAAGATGCATTTCATTACATGCAAATCATGCCTTCTCCATTCCCTTATATCTAAAATTTCATAATTTACAACACTACAAAATTTAGTCGATTTTTTGCTTGCCTTTTGAATAAAACCAAGTTTCATCCAAAACCACAAATTATTAACCTTCAACCTTCAGTTTCATATATTCCATCAAAAAGTCAGATCTTTCAATAACTATTATCGTTTCTTTCTACGCAAATGTAAATAAATTACTTACCGTTTTTGTACATTGAATATATAATGAGCCTAATCAAGCCCTGTCCAAAATCATCCACTGCACATGTTTTGTTCCCTTCTATTCCTGGACACTCCTTTCTAGAGTCTGAGCAGTATCAGGGTCTTGCTTCCAATATCTGTAAAATGAAATTCAAACATAATCCAAAACAATTTCACCAGGACACTTATTGACTTGTCATTATGATACGTTTATTATGGATTTTACTTCACTTTTGAACAAGTGCTGAGTTTCAGCTTCAAAATCCATAGGCAGTTGTTCGTCAATAACTGAAGAAGTTCTATATTGGCATCGCATCATCAGCTCTTCCACAAATCTGGCAATCAAAAAAGAAAAGTCTTCTTGGCACATGCTGTGTCACACTTCTCCCTGTCTGCCAGTGGACTCATTGCTAAGTTACTTAAAAGCTTTGACATACATTAAATATTTACAAAAATTAAATATCTACCTATAAGAAATAAAAGTAATTAAAATGCAAGTAATTACAAATTAAATATTTTATAAATAAGCTATTATTGCCTATTAAAATTGTAATTTATCTTATAGAATTTATACATTCTAATATTTCAATGAGATTAAATATAATATAAAATATATATAAATTAATGGAAATTCTCCGAAATATGTGTGAGTGAAAATCGTTTCACAGTCTACTCTCCGATTGTCGACGATCTCACAAAGGTTCAACAGGCTGAGGAGAAGGCTCAGCCAGCGCCCCTCCGTCTGGGGCGTGCCAGGCCAAAATACACAAAACTGTCCATAACTGTCTTGAAATTCTGGGCAAAAGCCCCGCCAACAGACGAGAAGCCATGTTATTACTCGCGCAACTTTTCTTGAACGAGACCTTGGCATCCCCTTCCCTTGTGCAATAAACAGTTGAAGGCAAAAAGCTCGCAGCGGGCACTGGTGACAACTTTCCAAGCATTATAAACTTAGTTGGCGCGAAAGAGAAGCTAGTCAAAGCCCCAGTTGCCATTTTCATAGTGCAGAACTCCTGTTCACATTTATTGTCAATATCGAAAGAACATGGCTGAGGTCAGTCCAGGTCCTTCAAGGGAAGTCACTAAAACTCCGAAAAAAGCTAAGCACAGATGAAGTTTTGACTTGTATTCACACACGTTGCATTACTTAAAATACTCTAGTGGCCGACTTTGTAACTAATACCCCCACTCCACCATGAAATCGTCAATCCATCGTTTCAGAAAAGTTGCATCGGTAAATAGCTGCACCTCTCTTTTTCTGCAGTGAACTTCTCAAATTCCTAACTGAAACACAGTATGGTAATTAATAACTTTTAAAATAGTAAACCTGGATATAGTTCAGAATTCTTCAACCGATGTTTTATCCATCTATAATAAAATATTTTTCATTGAACTTTCTTTGTCGAATAACCAATAAATTAGGTTGTGCCACAGCGCCACGACACGTTAGCCAACGTTCGTGAAATGAAATCGAATCATTCCTGGATGTTAATCACTGGGCCACGCCTCCAGGCATGATCCATGTGGTATGGCATCTGTGGCTGTCAAAAAAACCGGTCACATGACAGAACGCTCTGTAAGTGATTAAAACGCAGTGAGTCTTCCAGACCCATGCACGCCTATCGAAGGGTTAACACACAAACTAATCTCAATCTTCAATTTTTAGTTTTGCGGTGTTAACGTTGTGCAATTTTCCGATATTCAGAGAGTTCGCCGCAAATGGAACGAGTACCTCATCTTTAACCGTCCTTCGATACATACGAGGAGAAACTTTAGTCAAAAGATTTGGAGTAGTTTTGTAATTACAAATGTTTTAAAATATCCTAAATTTCACGCACGTGTCGCGAAAACTACTCACATTTCGAAACATTGAACAAAATCTTTCTTTGTGGGGCGCCTGCTGTCTATTTTGTGGTGGACGGGCCGGCAGCGCTGAGGCCAGCGCATCGCGTGACAACACTGGGAAACAGTGGGGAATAGTTCTCTAGTTCCCCGCCAGATGGGAGATTGTTCCTCTCACAGGAGTCGCTAGGCAGCAGCGGTAGGGATGACAAAAATACATCGGTGTTTTTAAAATATTGATGTTTTCGAACATAAAAAGCAATACTATAACTATGATGTTTCCTTCAGAACGATGTATTTGTTCAGAAATATCGATATCTTCAGAAACATTTCTCATGATATAAATGAAATTTCCAGTATCAATTTTTTGTTAACTGCTCAGAATCATCCGCCATCGGCAATAGTCACAATCGTCGATCCCCAATCGGCACGAAACAGTTCGCCGTTCGCAACTTTTCTCAAGCGCTATTACCTTTCCTGGTGATATTTTACGTGTAATCCGTAATATCATTCAGTTGCATTTTTAACCTTGACAACATAGAATATTGATTAAAAAATGAATATGACAGTCAAATTCAAAGCAAGGTATACATTAAACTAATACTGACGGGTTATGTATTGTGCGGATATCACCATTTGTATATTTTAGTAGTTCCGCTTGGGATAACAAATGTGCGGATTATAATTTTAATTTTAAATAAACCATAAATTAGCACGTGCTCGACTAGTTCAGGGATGGTTAGAATAACTATTTGTCACTTCAAAGGAATTGCATTGTAGTGCGAGATAAAACAAGTACTTTTATATTACCTCCAAATAATTAATGTTCTAAATAGAGCAGTAGAAGAGACTTGGTTAATAAAAATAATTTAGTTGAGCTCATTGACAAAATAAAAAACTTTCACAAACGTAAAATCTACGATGACAGAATAAGCCAAAGCGCGGCTTCGCAGTTCTAAATTTCTTCATAATTCTTTCTTAACAAATCCTCTTTCCGTCAAATTAAGAAGCTTTATTAGCTTAACTACGAAAAGCATCTCGTTAGGAAAAACGTCACCGGTTTTCTTCGTAAACAGCTCTGCAGCACAGACGTGTCGCCTTGTATTCGGGGCCAATGCCGGCCGGGCTCAGTCAGCTGTTCGAAGGCCGTTCGCCGGCTGCAGGGGCGGCCGAGCGACTCGGGGGAAACGACTCGATCCGTTGTGGGCCAGGAACTCGTATCGGGCGCTCACAGCGCGAGCTCCGAACTCGATGCCTATCATAACGCACTTACGACGGTTCGAGTTGCAGCAGCTCAGCGTTTCCTTTTAAAATAAAGTTCAAGAGACGATCATAACCAGAAGTCGTCATAAAAAAAAGTAAACTACACTCACAACAAACAAAAAAAAAAGATTTCGACTGAATTGGTGCGGAGCAGGTCTGTGCTCACATCAATCAAATTGTTAGGGTTGCGGATAATGCCTCCGACGACCTGGCTTAAAAAATGTCTGACCACACATCTTGACATTTAATTTTTTTAACAAAAATACACATACACGTGACTCCGCGTCCTTCGTCTACTCTCTCGAGTTGACACAAACCAACTGGTTTCTTCGCTCTGCCCAAGTCACCTTACGTCCTTGATCTGGAATCAAGCGTCGTGATTGGCCGATACCCATTGCGTGTTATCTTAATTTTGTCCAATGCGCTCTCTCAGTCATTTTCATCAAGAAGGTATGTATTAGTTATTAATTTATATTTTTAGTTATTTGTTTAAGATTAAAGCCCCTCCCCTTTCTGCAAAAGCCAAATCGGCTGCAGAAAAACTCAATGTAGCCCATAAAGACAAATAAATTCCCGCCTCTCCAGACTACTGGAGAGGGAAAAATCGAAAAATAAAAACGCTCATTTTTATGAAAGTGGAAACTGCAATTCCGGCGCAACTACAGAGAGGGCGCGTCGGGGTGGTTCAGATAATTTAATGGCGTCGAAGGAGGGAAGGCTGCTTCTATAACAATCCGTGGTTTGATTCTAGGCCAGGTCCCTGCAACTCTCCAACAAAACCAGGGACAAAACTCAAGGGTGCCATAGGAGACGCTAGTGTCGCCGGGTGCAGCTGCAGGTTAGGCTCACCAACTTTCCCACATACAAATTGGCCAATTTGTGAGAAATACGAAAACGGTCTTCTAAATGTTCAATTATTCATAATCTATACTTATAAGAAACCTCTGAAGAAAGCGCTAACATAGTTCTTATTTTTTGTAACATTATGGGCTTGCTTGCGACCCGCGAACTCCCGCAGCAGCCACGCACGTTTAAAGTATCGTTGGCAGTAGTTCGTGTTTTAGTTCCTGTAAAGAAGGTGATACAGCAGAGCGCGCCACCGTAATGGTCTCCACCAGGTTATGTGGAAGTTATAGGCTGTGCTGTCCGCGGGGTGTGGTGGATGTAGGTTGGTCTGGCGGGGCTTTGGCGAGCAAGTGCGCCGTTCAGAAAAAGATTGTTGACACCGAGCTCTGCGCCAGGGGAGAGGTCTGGTAGGGCTTCAGAAAAGGGTCGGTTCTAACCTGGAGCTTTGCGAGGGTGAGGAAAAGGAGTCAGCGAGCAAGTCGTGTCTTGCATAAAGGCGAATTAAATTCCTTCATCCACTGGGCTGACGATATCACATATTAATTTTGTAAAGTTTTAATTATTTTCTAGAGGTCCCGGGATGGGGGAACATATGAGTCGTCACAGTATCACATAAAAACCAGGCCATTTTACTGCAATACCTTTCATCATGTTTAAAATATCGATATATTAAACATAGTTGATTTAGTTGAAGTTTTCGGCAGCGAAAACATTTTATTGATGCATCGAAGTATCGATGTTTTGCTAAAATTTGCCATCACTAATCAGCTGTCAGCACTAAGCAAGCCGCGCAATGTGTGTGCCCAAGTCGTGCTTTGTTGAAGAACAACAAGTAGAGAAATAAATATTTTTTGGAAGTAATTGGTATTCATTTTCAATTAGTATATATGTCCTTGGCGCGACAGCCCGTAAACGGGCTCAGGCCTACCGACCCTGTCTCGCTGCCATGGGTTAAGGAGGTACGTGTGGTTAGCACGTCGTATTCCGGTCTTCTCAACCTGAGAAGTGAATTTTCTCATCGACACACAGCAACATATACCGAGACGTTGCAAGGAAAACGCACCCTATAATCTTCCATGACCGGGAATCGAAATCGCGGCCGCGTACTGGCGTTTACCACGCTGACCACGAAGCTAGTTTTATATAAATTATGTATAAAATATGTGTATATTTGTTTCAAAATAAAATGTTTTGTTGCAAACGCGTTGTTTGTATACCACCGAAGTCGCTTGCTGCCAACACGTGGGCAAGAATTCAATTTCCACTCACATTAAAGCCGAGATGCGCGTGTATTTAGTTTTGTTGAAGACTGAGAAGCAAAGAAATGAGTATTATTTATCATTCATTTTAAACAAGTATAAATGTATATGTAATGAATAGAGTTGTATATAATTTTATTTCAATGGAATATGTGCTGGCAATGGCGCGTTTTGTAGACGCGCTTTTAAAGGTAGGCACGCTCGGTCATTGCTTTGCTTTACACTGTATTGTGAGTAAGATCTTGTAATGCGCCTAGATCACAAGCAGACTATGCGTACAAGACGCAAACGCCTTGTGAGATAAGCTATTTTGCTTGCTGCGTACTCACTCGCAAGACATCAATTTCCACTCACATGCTAGCCCCGAAGCGACCGTTTTTTTAACACTAAGAAGCAAAAAAATGAATAATATTTTGTATTAATTTTAAATTAGTAAATATGTATGAGCATATTCATGTTAAAGTAATTTGTATAAGAAGTTGCGGTTTTTTTGGGACTTGCATGTTTTAGGGAAGGCACGCACTGGAGTTCCTTTACTGTACACTGTATTCTGAGAAAACACTTGCAGTGAGCGTAGAACACTATCTACGCATTCTTGACGCAAGCGCGTTGTGCGTAAGCCAACGAAATCGTTTGCAGCCTGCCCACTCGCAAGACTCGAATTTTCGCTTACATGCAAGCCGCGAAGCGTGTGTATTTAAGGTTATGTTGAAGGCTAACAAGCAGAGAAATAAATATTATTTAGTATTATTATTAAATTAAAATAAATGTATATGTAATAAAAATGTGTATATTTATTACTATTTAATGTTTTTTTAGTGACTTGCACTTTTTAGGGAAGGCACGCCCATGCTCGTATCGATTTTTGGCGACTTGCATTTTTCAGGATAGGCACTCTCAAGCGGTACCTTGCCACCGATTTCTGAGAAGGCTTTCGAAGTGTGAGTGTAACACTAGCAGGCCGTGTGAATTCTTGACGCTCGTGCATTGTGTGTTAGCCAGAAAATTCCCTTGCAGCCTAGTTTTATGATTGGAGTTTTCACTCACATGCAAGCCGTGAAGCTCATGTGTTTAAGGTTTTTTGGAACATTAATATGCAAAAATATATTATTTAGTATTATTTTAAATTAGTTTATAAGTATTGAGATAAATGTGTAAATATATATCATGGAATTTGCATAAGCAGTGGCTAATTTTTGGGGACTTGCCCTTATTAGGGTAGGCACGCCCGGGCGTTGCCTTCCTATGCCCCGTATTCTGAGAGAACTCTTGTTGTAAGCGTAGAACACAAGCCGACTGGGTGCATACTTGACGCCTTTGCGCTGTGCGTAAGCCAATTTTCTCTCTGCCTAACCACACGCAAGACTCCAAATTCCATTTACGCGCAAGCCGCGAAGTGTGTGTGTGTGTGCGTGAAGCTCACAACAAGTAACAAAAATGTGTATATTTATTTCAAGGTAACATGTTAAGGAAGAAGCGGTTTTTCGGGGACTTGCTCTTTTCAGAGTAGACACCCCAAGAGTTGCCTTGCTACACACCGTTTTCTGCTCTTGAAGTGAGAGTAGAACACTATCAGACTGAGTGCATATTCGATGCTCGTGAGTTGTCGGTAAGCCAGCAAATTCCCTTGATGCCTAGCTTTACGCAGGATTCGAATTTCCACTCACATGCAAGACGCGAAGCGCGTGTTTAATGTTTCTTTAACACTAAGAAGCAAAAAGATAAATATTATTTAGTATTAATTTGAAGTTAGTATATAGAAATACGTGTATATTAATGTTAATGGAATTTGTATAAGCAGTTTTTTTGGGGAATGCACGCCAATGCTCGTAGGAGCGCCGGGCTTCGCAGGCGGGCAAGAAGCTCGTTTGTGGTGCTGGTTCAGGTAGAACGGGATGTGTAAAGAAATATGGTCCAGAATAGTCCAAGATACCTAATTGGAAAAAGAAAGGATAATAATAGAATAATGATAGCAAGCTTTAGTTGAGGTAATGACGTCAGCTGCAGAAAGTGCTGATTGGGCTGGGGAGAAAGGGGACGTGCGATATATTGCGAAGAATAAGGCGTGGAAGCATGTATTGGAAGAGTGCAGTTGATTGTAGGAACTCAGGTTACGAGAAAGAGATATAGTGTAATAGAAAGAGTCAAGCAGATCCTACAGAATGATGGAGGAGGGGAAAGAGAGGTCATAGAAATTCAGAGAAGAAGACAAGGACAGCGAAGGATAACGTACAGGAAATAAGTTTGTTAATAATAATAATAATAATAATAATAATAATAATAATAATAATAATAATAATAATAATAATAATGTCTTTATTAGTGGCGAGCTTTAGGTCACAGAGCCTGCTCTAGCACCTAACCACAAAGGTTAATTGAACATATTTGTAAAGGCGTAAAAAGTATGGATGCTGAAAGTAATGTGTACACAAGATTGTAAATAAAAATGGTAGGGAGAGAAACAGACCAAGTAGAAGTTATGAAAGTGGTAAACACAAGATCGGGGTAGGAAAGTAAGTATTAAAAGAATGTAAATATGTTTATGAATAAGTCTTGTTGAGCACCCATACGACGTATGAAAGTGATTAAGGTGTCCATGAAGAGAATATACTTCTTTTTCTTCTTCCTCATTACTCTTCGTTACTCTTCATACAAACTATAACTGAATCAATAGAGATGTTTTTAATTCACCATCAAAATCTGAAGGTGCTCGTGTGCCTAGCAGCACAGAAAAATGGCACACTTTCAAACGCGTGACATTAAACCGATGATCAAATCGTATATTAATTCCTTAGAATGGACGCCCCAGACAAAATCCATGTGGCTAAAATGATCCTTGGGGACTTGAAACTTGCCAATGGTATTTCTGGTGTTCCTGAACAGTCTGTCCACATCCTAGATAACAGAAAAAGTTCGCCATTATGTAGATGTGATATTTGTGACATTTTGATGACGTATTAATTCTATATTTGGCCGTAATATTTTGAGTGATGAGAATACAAAATAGCCAAATATGTAACTCATGGTGTTACAATTCATGAAGGGAAAGGGGAGGACATAGTTTTGTGTGGGATAAAATGGCATTTTGTGAATCATTTAGTGCATTGAAACATTTCGTTTACAATCCATATATATATAAAGACGTAGAAAAAGTACACATGTTAAGGTTATTTGCAAAATTTGTAGCAAACTTTGCTCGGTTTTCAATTGCTTCGTTGCACGGGTCACACTCGTGTAGTAATTAATACTTTTTCAAAATTGTATTATAACTATTGCTACGCAGACGTTAGTTCTGTCGTGAGTGTGCATTGTTGCTTTCAATTGTTTTAAGTTTGCCGGTATGTGCCTGTAGCATGGTGGAAAGAGATGGATGAGCTTGTGCAGCACATCTATTTTGCTTTCGCGCAGTAAATGTTTGCGTCACGAACCACGTGACCACAACTCTGGCATTTCGTTTGAAAATTCAGACCAGATGTTGGCCGCCATGCTTCATGGAGAGCAAGAAGTGTTGAGAAACATTTTGAGTGTGGCGTGAAGTGACTATTTTCAACGGCGATCAACTAAAATAACATAATAAAGGTGAAGTTTGTTTATTTACTTTTTAATATTTATGTATTTATTTATTTATTTTGTAATGGCAGCACCAAGTTTTCTGTTTCACTCATATTATACAAAAACTGTACATGTTTAATATAGATTTAGAAGTTTCTCGTACAATACCTCACGTAGCATACTTCATATAATATAACGTTAGCAATGAAACAAAAACAGTGACTATCGTATCAAACGTTAATAGAGGTCATATATCCCGGATATCTTTTAAGTCTGATAACAATCATATATAAGAGTCCAGTGTAGCACTGTCGACACTCCGTGCTGAGCAGCCATTCCACGAGTTTACCACTCTGTTACACAAAAAGTGGTGCAGCTGTAAGATCCTCCAAATCTCTCGGCGCTACTTCGAGGAGTGACTCCTGAGGCGACAATCCAGAATTCTCTCAAAGATATTTGCGAGGACCCATCCCTCACAACCTCCATTCATAATCTTAAACCTTTCGATTAGATCTCGTTGTGGTCTCCTCTGCTCCAGAGTTGGCAGTTCGACTGCCTGACATCTCTCCTCACACGATGCGCTTTGTAGATCGCTAGCGGACTTCGTCATTCGTCTCTGCACTTTATCCAAGGCCTCGATGTATTTTTGTGGTATTCCAAAATTGGTCTGATATACGTCACATACAGATTACTCATCTCTGTCGACTTAATTCTCTGTAGCTCTCTCCTCATTAGGTACAGAGCAGAATTTGCTCTACTGACAACTGCTGAAACCTGTCAGTCGCATTTGAGATATGGGGTTAAAACCACGCCTAAGTCAACCTGTGCGGTCACTGGTTGTATTGTACGTCTACCAATCAGGTACACGTTTCTGCGGTTGTTTTTCTCCAAATGAAGAACTGCATTTGTTGATACTCAATGATTCGTATAGTAACCACAAATCAGACCACTCCTCTATCCTTGGCAAATCATATTGAAGGTCCACTTGCTGCAATATTGGGTTACCATACAACTTTAGTATCATCAGCCTAACTGTTCCACTTTGATCTCAAGCCTTTTCCTCGGTCAACCGGCTACAAAAGAACCAAGAAGAATCCCAGAATAGAGTCCTGAGGAACCCCACTTGTAACAGGTATCGTCATTTTCAATACGTCTTGTATCTGCTTTAATGGCATGTAAGAAAGTGATCATTTTAGTGTATGACTGCTATCTGGAAATTGACGCTAATATTGTACCCCAAACAGGCGCCTGACGCACATTGGCTGAATTCGAATACGATGCGCAAAAGCTCACCCATATCTTTCCAGCATGACCTGTAGTGAGCTGATTCCTTGGTGACAAGTAATTTTGAACAAGTGACTGGAGTGGTGGACCAGAAAGGAAAAAGTAATCTGAGTTACTGGCGTTTAAGTTTACTTGATATTCAAGCAATTCGAGATGGAATGGCAATTTAATTATTGCAACATTACAATAAATACAATAAATTCATTAGTTAATATACATATTCAAATAATCTCCTGTTGTATGCACTTACCGTTTTACCAGTGATCCTATCACCTATGCTGTAGTGAATGGCCACTGGTACAGTTACTTTGCTTACATTGTACTTAGGCGGTGACAATGAACCGTAGTGGAAAATATTTGTTAGTCCATAGTCCCACATCTGAAACTCATCTTCATACATTGTTTACCATTAATATAACGGTAAAAGAAAATATCAAATTTTTGTGTTATTAGTATTAATAATATTATATCTTTATATTTAAATCAAAGGGTTTCCGTATAGAAATTAGTTTGAGCTTTGAACTCAACTAACGTAATTTTGGCTTTAAATTAAGTTAGGGGTCCTATACATGTTATTAGTAACATCACAATCTAATATTATCTTAACAGTGATAGAATAAATGCTAAAGTGCCGTTATTTGTTCATTATTTCATTGTGCGAGTTGTAATGGATCTGCTGAAAGAAGTCGAGAGTTTGTCGTTCAGTTGAGACAGCATGGAAGTGCGCGGTTCCAGTTAGTGAAGCGTCAACAGCGAGCTTTTTTAAGTTCGAAGTTTGGGTGTGCAAATATTAGTGAGGGTACTTAAACTAGTAGTATTAACATCTGCAACCTTGCCGAGTGATTGAATCGGGGCTCGCAATGACTGTGCTGCTGCGGTTGTCTTTGGTGGAGAAAAAAGGAATCGGAGCTCCGGTTGCACCCGTTCTCGCGGCGCGACCCGCTCAGTTGACTAAGCCAATCACAACGTGCGTACGTAACTGTTGCCCATCGGTCTGAACATCGGCAATGGCTCAATGTGTCATGTGGAAAATGGATTGTCATGAATGTGACATCGAATTTTAATGTTTCTCATCTGTTACTTCAATACTATAATACAGTAATAATAACAAATTTAGTATTTTTAATGCATTTAAAATATTTATATCTAATTTCTCGAATAGAAATAAAACTTAAAATCATTTTCAGTGGTGTTCAGTCAGAGGTTAGAGGCAGAACGGAGGTGGCGGTCCACACCGGGTTAAGAAGAGCAGATGTCATAAACGCCGTATTGCTCTATTCTTTTGTCTTTTTATAATGACAAAAATTTATTTTTTTACTTGTCTCTCACTTCGTTAATATTTGCATTAGCGGCAATTTGTTCATATTATTTAATTTCCGAGTACACGTGCTTTAAATGATGTTTTATAAATTTTCTCGGAAATTACTACTTTTCTGCGAGAAGATACTCAAAATGTTGCGTTTCCAGACATGTTTAAACGACATTGTCTCAAAAAAACGGCTCGAAAATTGTTTCTCCAAATGCTATAATATATATATATATATATATATATATATATATATAATATATATAATGAGCCCGATTTCCTCAGGCTCAGAAGTTCCAGACGGATGCGCGCGAGAGACAGAGAGTGAGGCAGAGAGACGAAAGAGATACCGAGAGCGACGAAAGAGATGCAGAGAATGACGGAGACACACCGAAGAGGAGAGAAGAGGAGGAGGAGAGAGAGAAGACAGACGACAGACAGACAGAGTGACATAGACAAAGAGACAGAGAGACCAGAGACACAGAGAGAGAGAGAGCAGCCAGACAGACAGACAGATAGACAGACAGACAGACAGATAGACAGACAGACAGACAGACAGACAGACAGAAAGAGATGGGAGACCAATGCATTTTGATTTATTTACAACAAAGGCTAGTGGGAATGCGCGGCTACTCCGAAACTTTTCATTCTCTTAACTTTCTGTTGCTCAACAACTACTCAGATGTTTAAAACGTGCTCCTAATCCTTTAAAAATGTACAATTGAGGTAAGTTATGCAGAAAATATCCAAGCGATGAAATTCAATATGGCTGAAATATGGCTTGGAATATTGGGACATATCGTAAAATTTTGAACAGGAAGGGTGCACGCCACAAACTTGATATGTGTGGAATGTGTCTATAGAAAAGTTCTACGTATTCACTCTATGAAAAATAGAAAAAAAAACATTACAATTGTTTCATTTGGTTCAGTGTTAAGTCTCGAAGTGTAATAAAATGATGGAGGTTTACACATACTGGAACAACAATCACCACTCACAAAGATAGGGTCGGCTATGTTTCATCTGTAATGGAAATGTATTATATTTACCAAGATCTGTACATGTATGAAGTAGGGAAATATGCAAATAAATCTTTCGTTCGCCTTACCCTAAAAACGTAATGTACCACAATAAATGAAAATTATTTATGAAAATTACATGTGCCAGATGCTTACTGGACGTAGCATTTCCATACATGTCAACACTTCAATAAATCTTCGTAATTAAAAACACTCTCAACTTAAGAAAACTCGCTTTCAAAACATCGATTGAAACCCACATAATGAAAAAGTAAGCCAATTACCGCAGGTAAGCGCCCATTCTATTAATTTTCTATTATTCATAGTGTTTACATTATAAAACCTGTTAAAAATAGCAGACAATAAAACATCTGGGGCCCACTCCATTCACTTAAAAAGCAAAAAGGACGAAATTTGGTTGAGTGAAAATCTAAAACTTCTTACTAATCAAAAGTCTTATGATTTAAATATAGAGAATTTTTTAAATGTCAGGTTTTAATGAAAATAGAAATACTGCTAAAATTCACTTTCTTCTATTCAATAAAATATCAAGAAAAAATTTTCAGCCATTTACCAGAAAATGTAAATATCTGAGAGGATTCATGATCCTCCAAAATTAAAATATGGTAATGATCTCCGAAATGGCTCAACTACATTTTACTCCTGACGTTCTTACCAAGTTTCAGCTGAAAAGCTTCTAATCTAACAGACTTAAGTCTCACACATCTACCCATTGAGAAATACAAATTGATTTGCGGGTACAAAATTGCATTTATAGAGACCTGCACCATGAACCCCCATCTTTGGAACCGCATTAAAATACTTTACTTCTGACGTGTGTGTGTGTGTGTGTGTGTGTGTGTGTGTGTTTGTGTGAAGGTGCAGCTGAAAAGAGTCTTAAATACGGATATTCGAGACCACATTGCTGAGATTATTTAAATGGGATATGAGGATTAATGGAGTATTTTTCAACACTCAAATTTTAAACCCTCATTTGCAATTTTATTTGTAGATTCTTTGTTGATTGCGCACCACGAAGGGCGAAGCATAAGACGCTCACCTGATAAGATTTCCTGCAGAAAGTGCAGAAGCGTCTTAGAGCTGGCCCCCGCCGGCGTGTGACTCATAAGAACTGGGAGCATCGTCTGCAAAATATTGAACCATTAACTCATAAAATCAAGGAAAAATCATTATAATCCGTTCGGCCGCCCCAAAAGCCAAAAAACAATAACAAAATGGGGCAGGTGTAATTCTCAAAACTTGCAAGTTACATTTTTTCGGCATCTGAAGATCTTAAAGATATATTTTTTTCCTCAACAATAATAGCAATAAAAACATGTTCAAATAATGTAAAGTATAATTTTTCGAAAATGTAAGTAGTTTTTTACACAAAAACAACCTTAAAATATGCATAATTAATCGTGAAATGTAGTCAATTTTTAAACAGTTGTTTTTTTCAGAAACGGTTCCAAAAATGTTTCTTAAAATTGTCTCCTAGGTTACGACACGCGTTGCTAATATGACGCAGATCCCACTTCCTTCAAACTGTGTATTTTCGAAAATTGCAAACTTTCATTGATGTTAGAGGGTACTTTTTCGTAATGAAATCTTTTCTAAAATATTAGATCGTTAAAAGGTGCCCTACACATTTTTTAATTAAGTGATTTTTGGAGTATTTTTCCTTGAAGTTAGTGCAATTTATATTTTTCCTCAAACACTGATCCAAATTTTCTCCATATTTTTTCGAGAAGGATGATTAAAAAAATGGCGTATGTTCCATTTTTGGCAACCTCTGTACTTTCTAAATTTTCAAAAGTTCAACATTGATTATTAAGAATTTTTCCTTATTAAAATTTGTTCTAAAAAAAAGAAAAATTTAAATAGGGTCATATACATTTTTTTAAATTGCTTTGTTTGCTCTATTCTCATTTCAACGCTGCCCAAACCATTCAGGGTTATAATAGTTATACTAAAAAATAAGTGATTTTCGGAAGTGTGTTTTAATTGTTGGGAATATTCGCGGAGAATATTTTGTTGTTCTCGTTTGTAAACCATGAATCCGTAAGTAACTATTTTTAGTGAAGACTAAATGAAATCTCAAGTAGTATTTCAACTTACCGAATTTAGTTCTTCAGGGTCGTAACCACAAAGAAAGTATATAAGATTATCACACATAGTCTTGTAAGGTAGTTTATGTCTACATATCGTCCCAAAGATTGTATTTTGTGGATTGCCTTTCTTGACCTCATTGTAACCTACCAATTTGAAAATTAGCTGCAAAGAAAAAGATAAAAGGCGGAATTAAATAGAAATAACTAGTAAGAACAAATACGTAATACTGAATAGCAAAAAATGTATGTAATCAACTAAATTAAATTAGCAATAATACTATAAGGAAGCGTTTAAATATAACTGAATTTTTTTTCAAAATCGACTCCAAATTTTTGCTTTCAACTTTTTGTAGCTATAAATAACTGTAAATATACTGTAAAAGATGACATAAACGTCAAGTATAATTCTTTATTTTTTGTCAAAAACTACACAAGGATAATTTTTATATCTCTCACATCGTTAATACATCACATAACTTGAGATTCATATTCATTATTGCATTTGTGAGTACAAGTATTTCAAACTATGAATTATAAAGTTCCACCACAACTCATAATTTTCTCTGAGAATGAGCTCGAAATATCGCTTTCTAAGAAACTCTCCAATGGCATTTTTGTCAAAAATGAATCCAATTTTTTTCTTCAAAATGTTTATACAGGTAGTGTTAAATGTACTGATAGTGCTAAATGCATTTTTTGTTTACATAGAACTGTAACCCAACAAAAATGATTTAAATAATTATGACAAACACCAATTTCATGAATAATCTTGTTTCTTAAAAAATTACACAAATGTATTACTTTAATATCTCTCTAGTTGTTAATATTTACATTACCGGCTGTGTATATATTGATTATTATTATTATATATGAGAGTAAAAGCACTTCAATTGAATTCTAATGAAATTTTTCTGAAACTCAAAAGTTCTGGATGAAAATAAACTTCAAAATACGCATTTGGGTATTGGTTCGAATTATATTTTCTTATAAACAGCACCACATATTCCAATAAAAATGTGCATGAACCAGAATTTAGACTTTTATAACTACTTCTACACTTCTTTTATTTCGTAGCATCACTAGTTCAGTAGAGCATATTGCTAACAAAATAGTAACCCATATCCCCACTCTACTCCTGCTACAACTAGCAAAATAAATTATAAAAGGAGATCTTAACAAAATGTGCGCATAGTGAATCTATATTTATGACTAAAACCAAAACATTATGCCATCTCAGATTTTGCTCTATGGATCAGAAAAACTGGCCAAAAACTAATGTACACATAGGCTTCCGCGGCTTGAATTCATGACTTCTTGGCTGTCCGGGTGACGCCGCGTCGTTGGCTGAGGGGCCGACGTTTTGCCTGTCATATCAGAGAAGGGAAGACCTTGAAGAAGCCTGCGACATGGCAGGCGAAACGTCGGCCTCTCAGCCAACGACGCGGCGTCACGCGGTCAGCCAAGAAGTCATGGACAAAAACCTAATCGAGATGGGGTATTGACCCACACGTCGTAGTACATTACTTGTTACAGGCATAGTATTGTGTTAAATAATACAACACAAACGTAAACTAATGCATTATATATATATATATATATATATATATATATATATATATATATATATATGTTAACATACATATTATATTTTATTTTGTTGGTCAGTATTAGTCTCAAAATGTATAGATCCAGTCTTGCAGCAAAAAACGTTTTTTACTTTGAAATTAAATTTGTAAATCAATTGTATTTTATACCATCTGGCAATGAGCTGCAAAGTACATTCATTATATGTGAATTCCTTGGAGAGAGCTGTTGATACTGACACCTGAAAAATGTAATTTTTATTTTGTGTGTAGTAATTATTAAGATGGATCAAAATAACTGAAGATATTTAATTAATAAGAAATTAAAATATGTACACGAATTACAAATAGAAAATCAAATGAGTTGGAGGAAATATGAACAGGAACGTGACGTTGGGGATTTATAAATTGTGAAGAGATAAATAGAGTTATTTTCTATTGAGTAAGTAAAATTATTTATAAATATTTGAAATTAAAAAAATATTTTTATACGAGGCCACTATGGACACACACAAAAGAAATCAGACGATTCAGTAGCAAAGGACAGAATATCATCGAAGAGGCTATCGAAACAAGACACAGATGCAAGATGCAAGATGAGCTGAAAGAAAAAAAAGAGAACAAGTGGTAACTCGGAAGGCAGCGGATGTTAAGCTGTGAACAGGATTCATTTTGTGAAAGGTTTAAATTAGAACGACTCGTGTCTCAGTAGGCGATGGATGGTAGGTCGCGAGTAAAAGGAATTTTTAATGCGTTTGTGGCGTCATATCAGTCGCCTTGTACAAACGTACCAAATATCAGCCACGTGCATTTCATACTCTTGGACAGCGCTGGCGGAAGAGACCCAGGGCTGAACAATGGCAAACCTAGGGAGCGGAAGGGAAGGGGTGCTGTGTCGTGGGTGGTTACTTGGGAACCCCGTAGGCAGCGGAAACGCGTAGGCGTCTGTCTTAAACAAGCGTTTCTGTACAAGAATTAAACAAGCGAGTCTTAAAAAGCGAAATCTACTCTACGTGTGTGACGTCATAGAGGAGAAATACAACTCTCCTCTTTGTTGTATCTCTCCTCTATGTGTGACATTTGATGCGTTGAGCCTACGCTCGGGTTTTCTCTTTTAGCTTTTTAGCTACCATTTTCCTCGCTGTCTCATTCATAATTTTGTATTTTTGTTCGAAATGATGTAATTTTCGCTGAATTTCAGAAATGTTTGTTAGTTAAGAAGATGTTTCATTTAAGAGTGGTGTTTTGCGTTAGAGTTTCTATGCTCTTCAGAATTATTTTTGGGTTCCTGATTGGCTCCAAATTTATCTCAGTTACTAAAGACACAATTAAATACACGATGTAATTGGTTTCAGTAATATCAACTATGACGAGGGTATTTCCTGGTACGTCCTTGTTTGCTTATTCTGCCTCATTTTTCATTTAATATTTCACTCAACAATAGCCCGAAGGGTATACCAAAGTTGATATTATCATGATAAAATATATTAGTGGGTCAGATAGACCGTCTTTACAGACATTCGATTATGAAACATTTTCGTACGTTAATTTTGTTTCTTCCTTACGTGCGATTGGAAGCTCTCGTTACTGCTATCCAATAAAAATAGTGCTTGCTTCAGGTTAACATTGCCATCTATATTCTGCAGTAAACATGCTTTTCACATCTAAACATTTCATTTGATAACTACGACCATTTCAAAAACATTATCATTAACCCTCATTATTATTGTATACTCTTCTTTTTCTAGATCCCTCCCCTTGCATGCATAGCCATTTTGTTGACCATCCATCCATCTCTATTCATAACTTCCCCTATTAATTACCGATTTACACAACCTTACTAACTCGGAAACGCGTCGTTGTCATCCGGACGCAACCTATTTGTAATATTTCTTACATCCGCACGTTGCCACGTCGGAATATCGCCTGCCCGTTTGTTCGTCTTACGCGTTCCTTTTCCTGTCTTCTCCGTGCGTGAGATGTGCCCAAATACGTTTCTCTTTGCGCCTAGTGCGCAAGGCCATTCCCCGTCTCGCACAAATTCTACTTTCTGATTGGTCACTGGATCGCCAGCACTGTATTCGTTTATTCTTTGGTTTGTAATTATGTTCCTAATTGACTTTCTCCCTCTCGAAAATTGCTCGCGTGTCCTCTCACTGTTTTTATTTAACAATATATTCTCCATTTTCCCTGCTAACAATTATGTTGCCATTCCCTTGTATTCCTATTATTTTCTGTTCAATCCTTTGCTCCTCTTCTGTCCGCCACTGTTGCTGTCGTCTTGTTTATATGTTTATCCGACTTTATTGTTCCTATTCACACACCCTTGTGATAAGTTATCACAATATCTCAGTTTGGATTTTCTGCTGCCTCAATTAAGTCAACATTCACAGTTTTTATTATTCTCTTAACTTTGACATTTTCGTATAATCTTAACGGTGTTTCATATTCGAACGCAAGACGACGAACTCTCTATATACCCGACTAAAAACAATCAATAGATTTTTGTGGTCAGAAGCAATTGCTAACCTCCTTAGGGGTCTTAAAACTTCCCACAAACTCGACTTTGATGCTTAAAACACTCCAAAATCAGGGTTTTTAGAATATTATCTTACTAGTGTCTGTTATTTAGAATTATCTTACAAGTGTAAGTTACATCTTAGTGTTACATTTCAGAGGGTAGTAGACAGGGGGGATGATATCTCATTTGCCGTGAATGATAGACCGGGCGATTGACGGACGGAAGAACGTAGAATATATATTAAAGATTGGATTAATATACGACGTTGTTACAATGCAAAATTGATTTCTTTTTTAATTCGTCTCTTTTATCCTTTTTGGGTATTGCGCGTATCCTTTGAAATTATCTCCGGTTAAGTCATTTGTCGTGTCGTACCGTCGCTGTCAGAGAGTGCGTTTTATCCCTGCGGCCAGGGACTCTGTGGCGTTAGTAACCGAGGTTCCCAGTCGGTCACCCATCCGGGAATCCGTGGGGTCTTGAATTGCTTCCACGACTTAGCGGAGCGTAGTTTAGCAATTCGGCTAATAATGCCCATTGTTTATTTTCATTTTGTGTTAATTTGTATTGAGTATATTGGTTGAAATATTAAAAATAACGGAAATAAAAGAAATAGAGACAACTCGCTAGGAAAAGGTACTCGAATGCAATGTGTTTGATAGCTAAAGGAACACACTTCAAGAGTGGAATGAGTAGATCACACCTATGGTTGCTAGGTGTTCACTATTTGAGCGGACGGTCCGCTTATTTCACATTACGTTCACTATTTTCTTCACAAAATAGTGAACATTTTTTTGTTCAAAAGCTTTGTGATGAAATGGTACATAATGCAAAGCTATACAGTCTAAGAGAATATGCATAGGAACTTTGTTAGAAACTATATAAGTTAATTGTAATTATTTTATATTTTATTATATACCCCCACTTGTCCGCTTTTTTTGGACGCAGACCTGGCAACCCTTATCTCACCTCACACCGAGGAGATGGCTCAGGGCATCAACTGATGTTAGTGCACTCCCTCTGACCTGGAAATCCTTGGTTCGAGTCCCAACTATGGCAGCA